TTTTAAACATTTCTGTCAAACGGGCTTTTGCGAGCAACTTTTTCGAACTTCTGCGACAACGGTTGCGCACCTGCCAGGGCCATCATCCCTGTCAAATAATACCATGCGGGACACATTCGTTTTTTCTTCGCGCGCGCACGCCGTCGTCGTCGGCCGCGGGGCCCTGAATAGTAGCCACGGTCGTCCGCATGCCACGAAGTGAAGTGTCCGAACGTCATAGGGCGGGAAGCTGGGTGTGGGTGGTGGCGAAGAGTCGTTTGGAAATTTGGTAGAGCTTGAACCGGCCCCCCCACAAAGTGGGGGTATTGCCCGCCTCCTATGAAAACCCTGGCACTGGTGAGAACGGAGTGTCCCCACGTGCTAGTAATTGTTGTTGTTGTTGTTGTTTGTTGTTGTTGTTGTTGTTGTTGTTGTTGTTGTTGAACTCTCATTCTTGAAGAATAATTATTGTTGATCCCCCCCCACCGGTGCACATTGATTTTTTTCGATTGAAGTGCCACCCCCGGGGCTCGCACCTTGTTTTTTCTCAAGGAAAGTCTTCCTGCTCAAACTGTGCCCCTGCCCCCCGGGCTACAACAACAACGGCTCCCGCCTGAGACTTCCTCGATTTTTACTCAGGACCCCCGCTCCCGCCTGAGACTTCCGCGCAATTTATTCAGGAAAGGCGCTCCCATTTGAGACTTCCTCGCAATGTAATCAAGACCCCCGCTCCCGCCTGAGACTTCCGCGCAATTTACGTGGGAACGGCGCTCCCGCCTGAGACTTCTTCTAATTTTACTCAGGACCCTCGCTCCTGCTTGACATTTCCGGGCAATTGACTCAGGAACGGCGCTCCCGCCTGAGACTTCCTCGCAATTTAGTGAGGACCCCCGCTCCCGCCTGAGACTTCCGTGCAATTTGCTCAGGAACGGCGCTCCCGCTTGAGACTTCCTCGCAACTTAGTCAGGGCCCCCGCTCCCGCCCGAGATTTCCTCACAATGTACTCAGGACTGCGCTCTCGCGTGCGACGTCCTCACAAATTATTCTGGAATTGCGTTTCGGCGCTCAGGAACCACGCGCGCGCCAAGGACGCCTTCACAACGTGGTATCTTCCTTCTTCTTTCGTCCTTCCCCCTCCCCTTCCTCCCACTCTCCCTCGTTCTTCCCCTCCTCCTCTTGCAGGGCCCGCGCCAATTCCAATGGCGGGCAGAGAGATGTACGCCCCCGAAGGATTGTCCGCCCGTTCCGGTTTGCCCGTACGTCTAAGCCCGCCGGCCCCAGCAAAGAGAAATAATCCCCCCGAAAGGGGTGTGATCGAAGACGAAGAGGGCGGGTTTCGAGGGTGTAGGGTATACGTGTTGAATGACTCGCGGGCAAGTAAGAGCGTACAGCCGAAAAATGGTTGTTGTTGTTGTTGTTGTTGTTGTTGTTCTTGTTGTTGTTCTTGTTGTTGTTGTTGTTGTTGTTGTTGTTGTTGTTGTTGTTGTTGTTCTCTCAGTTCAAATGAATACTTATTGTCGATCCCCCACTCCCAGTAACCACTGTATGCACAGTGAAGTGTCACCAAATTGTGCCCCTGGCCCCCGCTGTACGAAAACAGCGGCTCCCGCCTGTTGCTTCCTCACAAGTTGTTCTAAATTGCGCTCTCGCGCGGGACTTCCTCACAATGTATGTAGGTATCGCGCTCTTGCCTGGGACTTCCTCCCAATTTGTTCAGACGCCGCGCCCTCGACACTCAGGAATCACACGTTCGATGTGAAGTTCCTCACGATGTATTTGGGAATCGCGCTGAGGGAGAAGGAGGAGGGAGGAGTGAGGAGAAGGAGGGAGGAGGGAGGAGGAGGAGGGAGGAGGCAGGATGGAGGCGAGGCGATGGGCGAGGGATGAGGGATGAGGGAGGATGATGGGAGGGAGGGAGGGAGGGGCCCGCAGAAGGGCAGGAGAGAGGGGGGGAGGGTGCAAGAGGGAGGCAGGGAGGGAGGGAGAGGGAGCGAGGGAGGGAGGGAGGAAGGGATGGAGGGAGGGAAAGAGGGAGGGAGGGAGGGAGGGAGGAGGAGGCGGAGGAGGAGGCGAAGGAGGAGGAAGAGGAGTCAGAGGAGGAGGAGGAGGAGGAGGAGGAGGAGGAGGAGGAGGAGGAGGAGGAGGAGGAAGACCAGCATCAACGATATTTGAATCATCCCTCCCTCCAAACTGCTTCTAACGTCCCTACACGGGTTCATTTTCACAGGGAAGTGCCTCGTTGGAAAACAACCGCTAGAAGATCTTGAAACATGCTTGCCGAAACAGGACTCTCGGGACTTGACGATTTTGAGTCGTGCCAGAACACCATTCCTGGGATGTCAACGCCGCGAACCAACGTAACTGTTGCACTTCGGCTATCCTGAGTCGTTCCATGGGAATCCATGAAGGTCCTGCAAATATTTAAGACAGATGGCGCGCGGCGTTCAGGCGAAAACCACATTTTGAAATCGACCTGCCCTCCATCCGTGAAGCTGATGCAATTTTGCAAGGCGAATGTGCGCAGCGCTCCTGCGTGCTTAAAAACGAATGTGCTCGGCGCTGAGGCGAGAGCCACATGTTGGAAGCGACCCGCCCTCCAGGTTTAAAGCTTCACGGTCATAAGTGGTGAGGAATACTTATGCGAGACGCCCGGCCCGCTCTTTCGAACGGCCTCAGGGTGCGACAGGGAATAGTTATCTATAGGGAAAAAGGAATGGAGGAAGAGGAGGAAGAGGAAAAGGAGGACAAGGAAAGGGGGAACGGCATAAGAAACTTGCTCATGAAATTATGACTGATAACCGTCACAATAAGAATAGTACGAATAGTATGAACAACAAGACTAATAATCATACGAATAATACGAATAAGCGCGATGAGAGCACTAGTAGTAATAATAATACCAATAAGAAGAACACAATTGCTAATGCCACTGATAAGGGTAACACTATCAATACTAGCAGTAGTCGTAATAACATGATTACGAATCAACGCATACTAGGAATAACACACTTACTTCATGACTGGTAACCATAGCAACAAGACTATTCTGACCGCCCGTAATAATACGACTAAGCATGCGACGACTTCTATTACTACTGCTACTACTGCTGCTGCTACTACTGATTATGCTATGACGATGGTTATCATTATTGATTACTTATGATACTGATGCTGCTACTACTACTACTACTACTTCTACCACCACTACTACTACTACTGCTACTACTACTACTACTCCTACGCCGACTACTACTACTACTACTACTACTACTACTAATACTAATACTAATACTAATACTACTACTACTACTACTACTAGTACTACTACTACTACTACCACTACTACCACTACTTCTACGATGACTATTGAAAATAATACGATTGCGAGTACTAATACTTGTACTACTAATATAACCAATGATAGGACTACTTCTACTACTACTGATACCACTATTAATAGTTGTAGCACTGTTAACAGTATCACTGATACGATTTCTATTTCGAATACTAACATTCACACTGATACTAAGACTCTTAATGCTACTACTAATGCTACCACTCGAACTAGTACTAATACTAATACTAGTACTATGATTAGGCATAACTCCTACTAATAATACTAATCGGAGGTGAGGGGGTGAGATCGAAGTGGGACGGAGAGCCCCCCTACCGGGACATCGATTTCGGTTTCGTGTTCGTGCGTGCCGTGCGTGCGGGCGAGGCGAAGCTGCGTGGGCGGGCGAGAGGAAAGTCTCCTGTGGCTGAGGCGCGGCCGGACCAAATGATTCTCCACCGGGCGGCCGGTGGCTCGCGGTGTCCCGCCAGTGTCCCGGTGGTGTCCTTTGTGGCTGAGGCGCGGCCGGACCAAATGATTCTCCACCGGGCGGCCGGTGGCGCGCGGTGTCCCGCCGGTGTCCCGCTGGTGTCCCGTCGGTGTCCCGTCGGTGTCCCGGTCATGATGTTGATGATGATGATGATGATGATGATGATTATGATGATTATGATGATGATGATGATGATGATGATGATGATGATGATAATGATGATGATGATTATGATGTTGATGATGGCGATGATGATCATGTTGGTGTTGTTGATGATGATGATGACGTCGATTGTGAGATCGATTGTGATATCGATAGTGAGACCAAATGTGAGATCGATTGTGAGATCGATAGTGAGATCGATTGTGAGATCGATAGTGAGATCGATTGTGAGACCGAATGTGAGACTGACTGTGAGATCGACTGTGAGATCGATTGTGAGATCGTTAGTGAAATCGACAGTGAGACCGAATGTGAGACCGAATGTGAGACCGAATGTGAGACCGAATGTGAGATCGATTGTGAGATCGATAGTGAGATCGATAGCGAGATCGATAGTGAGATCGATAGTGAGACCGAATGTGAGACTGACTGTGAGATCGACTGTGAGATCGATTGTGAGATCGTTAGTGAAATCGACAGTGAGACCGAATGTGAGACCTAATGTGAGATCGACTGTGAGATCGATTGTGAGACCGATAGTGTGATCGATTGTGAGATCGATAGTGAGATCGATATTGAGACCGAATGTGAGACCGAATGTGAGATCGACTGTGAGATCGATTGTGAGATCGATAGTGAGATCGACAGTGAGACCGAATGTGAGACCGAATGTGAGATCAATTGTGAGATCGATAGTGAGATCGATTGTGAGATCGATAGTGAGATCGATAGCGAGATCGATAGTGATATCGATAATGAGATCGAATGTGAGATCGATAGCGAGATCGATTGAGTGAGACGTTGGTTCCCCCTCTCCCCTCACCTCCTTATCACCCGCAGGGTGGTCGTATAGGTATGTTTAATCGGCTATCCGTAATAGCAACACTCATACTATTAGTCGTAAGAGTCAGAAGATGAAGAGGGGGAGGAGGGAGGGAGGAGGGGGAGCAGGAGGAGGGAGGAGGGAGGTGGGAGGAGAAGGAGGGAGGAAGGAACATGATGATATATCCCCACCTGTGCCCCTCGGCCTGTCAGGTGACCCTGCCGCGGCGCCGCCCGCCGCCAGCAACGGGCACGAACAGGGCGCCCGCCCGCTCGTTCGCCGCTCCCAGGAGGGGGAGAAGGGAGGAGGGAGGGAGGAGGAGGGAGGAGGGAGGATGGAGGAGTGAGGAGGGAGGAGGGGGGGAGGGGGGGAGGAGGGAGGAGGGAGAAGGAGGAGGGGTGAAGGAGGAGGAGGAGGGAGGAGGGGCGAGGGATGAGGGAGGAGGGAGGAGGGATGAGGGGGGAGGGAGGAGGAACTTTCGGAACCTATAGCTAATCCCGAGGACCAATGCCTTCGCCCTTAAGGTTCCCTCAATCGACTTGTGGGGATCGGGCCAGGTAAATCCAGGAACATGCAGATGTATCGAGGTACGTCCAGGTAAATCGTGGCACATCCAGGTGAAGCCAAAGTTTTCCCAAGGACTTTTTGAGCAAATCGTGGCCGGTGCAGCGCGAGTCGATGGACGGCAGAAGTCGTTAAGCTTATGACGAGAGGTAGCGCTAGCGCACAGCACATGGATCGGGAGGTGGCGCCCCCCGCGCCGCTTGGCATGAGCTACCCAAGCCAGACGGGGGCCGCGCGGACGGCGGGTATGAGTGCTGCTCTCTGCGCCGTCTTCCTGGGCGGAGAAAGGGGGGCATCGGGTAGGGCTGGTCGAGGCCTCGGCTGCCCTTATGAATCGCTTCGCTCATGCCGCCGGCCCTGGAGCCCTCTTTAGGGCCTCTTGGGGGCCTCTTGGGGACCTCTTGGGAGTCTCTTGGGGCTCCTTGGCGGCGTTTTGGAGGCCCCCAGGGCCTCTTGGGGGGCTCTTGGGGGTAGTCGATTGCGGCTCCCCCCTCGGAGGCTACGATCCTCGTGAGGGGTGTCGAAAAATACCCTCCCCTGGAGTGGTCTGGTGGCTTCTCCCGGGCTTCTCTCGGGACCTTGCCGGGGTACTTTTCGTCCGGGGGCCCCCAGGGGCCGCTCCGCGCGCGCGAACTAGAAATATTGTTAACAAGTTACCGGAGATCTTAGCACGCCTCTGGCCCGTTGGGCCGGCGAATTGGTGGTGCCGTAGTTTTTTGGGGCCTCCCAGCGGCTTTTGTTGCCAAGGTCGGGCGGGTGGTAATGGGGGGTGACCTAAATGGGGGGTGACCTAAATGGGGGGTGACCTAAATGGGGGTAATGGGAGGCCCTAAATGAGCACTTTAGGACCCCTTTTGGGCCCCTGGTAATTGGGGGTGGCCAAGATGAGGGGTGAAGAACAAGCCCTAAAGGGGCACTTTAGGGCCACTCTTGGTGCCGGTGCTAGCAGGGGCCTCAAAGGGGTCCTAAAGTGCCTCTTTAGGGCCCTTTTCATCACCCCCCATATTGGTCACCCCCCATTGCCACCCGCCCGGCTAGGCCGGACCCACCTCGACAAGCGGGTCATGATGGGATGGTTTCCGAGGACAGATTTTGTTCGGATGCGGGCCCCGCGGGGGAGCCGCTCTCGTTTCAATTGGCCCTGTGCGAGGAGGAGGAGGAGGATGAAGAGGAGGAGGAGGAGAAGCAGGAGGAGGAGGAGGAGGAGGAGTAGGCGAGGCGGAGAGTCAGGAGGAGGACGAGGAGGAGGGGGAATTAGGATAATAATAATAGTAGTAGTAGTAGTAGTAGTAGTAGTAGTAGTAATAATAATAATCATAATAATAATACTAATAATAATACTAATAATAATCATAATAATAATACTACTAATCATAATAATAATATTAATAATAAGAATAATCATATTCATAATACTACGAATCATGATAGTACTCAAAACATGAGAATACTAATACTAATACTCATGATAAATAATTATACGAATCACAGTTGTATTAGTCGTAAGAAGAATAATAAGATGAACAAGAGTAGGGATAAGGATAATAATACTCATGCTCTAGCGATAAGAATACTTATAACAAGAAGAGGAGGAGGAGGGAGGGAGGGAGGAGGAGGAGGAGGAGGAGGAGGAGGAGGAGGAGGAGGAGGAGGAGGAGGAGGAGGAGGAGGAGGGAGGAGGAGGAGGAGGAGGAGGAGGGAGGACGAAGAAGAGGGGGAGGAGGAGGAGGACGAGGAGGAGGACAGGAGGAGGAGGAGGAGGAGGAGGAGGATAGGAGGGGGAGGAGGATGAGGAGGAGGAGGATGAGGAGGAGGAGGAAGAGGGGGAGGAGGAGGAGGAAGAAGAGGAGGAGGAGGAAACACATCAAGAATATTAAGAAGTGAAGGAGGAGGAGGCGGAGGAGGAGGAGGGAGAGATGGAAGATGAGGAGGGGGAAGAAGAAGAGAAGGAGGAGGAGCGGGATGCTGTTGTTGATGATGTTGATGCTGATGATGATGCTTGTAATACTAATGACCACAATTAGCATGCTTATGATAATAATCATGATGCTGATTATGATGCTCCTGATGATGGTGATAATGATGCTGATGACTGTACTGATATTAGGGATGATGAGGATGACGATGATTATAACGATGACGATGGTG